CGATTCATGTTGTTTGATGGCTCTGGACTGCCTTCACCAGTAAATTAAGCCGTCCTAAGCAAATCATAAGCCTCAGTTTCTGATGTGGGAACACTATCAGAAATATCAGACTTTCTTTCACCATGCATACTCCAACACGAATTCCTCATGTATTTCTTATTCATACCCTTGATCACAAGATGGTCCACTACTGTGTCTACAAGTTGATGGCAAACATTGCGGCAATCGATGCAGGGACAGAAAATTTCAGATGGATTCCCCAACCTCCTTGATGATGCAGTCACAAAATTTGTTGCTCCTTCCACATACTCTCGGCTAGCCCTATATGTTAAATCAGACCATACAGAGTTCATATCATTATAATCAGACCACAAAAGTATTTGTTATCAATCAATGAATGAAAATACAAAAGTTCATATCTCAAAGAAACTCATACCTTGGAAGCCACACCCATGCCTTGTCCATAACACAACAATAGGACCACAGCTCCACCACCGATTTTACAATTTATGATGATAAATTCAAAGTATAAGACACTCAACTAACTTTTAATCAAATCAACACATACTTGCAGTGAAACAAATGAGTTAGAAAATAACAGCTTACGGAGTAAAAACAATCGCCAACAACAGAACCTTGCAACTTTGAAGACTGTCTGCAAAAAGATATTGACATAATCACTACCTTAGAAAAAAACACAACTCAGATTAATCTTAGAAACAAAATCACACATACCTGTTACTTCTTCTGGTTCGAAACTGAACTGCAAAAACAGTCAAATATATACAGACATATTAGAAATCGATTATCAAAATCAAAACAATTAAATCAAATTAACAAATTGAAAATCGACTAACTAAACTTTGAGTTTAAATCTCAAATTCCCAAATTTCACCAATTCGACCAAACATATAGTTTAAATCTGAAAACTCAACCATTATTTTACCTTCAATGCTAAAATCGACCAAACAAATTCGATTTCCACCGACCCAGATGACGAAGACAGAGATTGATAGAGAGATCGAGACAAAGAGAGATTGATAGAGAGAGCGAGACAAAGAGAGATTGATAGAGAGATCGAGACAAAGAGGGATTGATAGAGAGATCGAGACAAAGAGAAATTGATAGAGAGATCGAGAGAAAGAGAGATTGATACAAAGAAAGGAACGACACTGTGTTGAAAATTTTTAGATCGAAACAGAGAATACAAATTAGGAGCAAGAAATCAAAGTGAAATGTCGATTGAGAAACAAGAGGAAAACGAGAGAGAAAGGGGTATTTTCTTAAGACAGAACCCTAATTTTTAATCGATTGGGTTTATTTTTTACCCAAATTTTCCTTTTCTTTGGCGGTCAACAATTTATTTCGCGGTCAACAAAATTTTTATTTCGCGGTTGACAATGTTATCGCGTTGAAATAATGGATATGCTATTGAATACACAGATAATTAGGCGGGATCAGAATTACTTTTTGCCGCGTAACAAAACATAGCGTTTGTTTTCAAGAAACGCTATCAATTAACAGGACAAACAATAACAATAGCATTGACATAGGAAACGCTATCTTCAAATGCTATTAATACACGTTTTTCCTGTAGTGTCTCTTTTGGTGCGTATATCCAAAGGATCTAAGTTTCGGTATCATGAAGTTCTTCCGCAAACTTCTGTGATATCCATCGATCAATTCTCTCATCTTTGAGTCGTGTGTCGTCTCTAGATCGAGATCATCTATCCATCCTCACGGCTTCGCAGCCACCTTTATCCCTTGCTCAACTTTAGAGTGCCGAGTCCTCGGGAGGATCGTGTCATAAAGTAGGTGTAGCTCATTATTGAATTTGATCAACAACAATTCTACAAAAATGTTCAAGGAAGGTAATTCTCCTGAGAATCCCTCTGACTCTTTTAAAAAGATAAGCGATGATTTTCCGGAAACGTTAGACATCGAGCTTGTAAAAACAGAAGCAACCGGCGAACCAGAAGAGTCACGCTCATTAGGGTGGGGGACCAGCATTCAGGTTCCAAATGTGTTAATCGAGAGATTATTAGCTCAAGTTCATGTCAAGGCTAAAGAGTTTATTAACAAGGTATTGTTCAACCTAGTAACCTGACTCCTTTCGTTGTTTGTTCAACGAAGCGTTTTGTTTCCTCCAGCTTATTACTCGGCATAACGAGCTCGAAGATGAGAAAAAAGAGATTAGAAAAAAGAGAATGGAACTAGAGAAGCGTCGCCTCGATATTGCTCGCGAGCTTCATCACCTCGATATTGCTCGCGAGCTTTATCGCCTCGAAGCCCATCCCTCTGATTGGATCGAGATAGGCCTACAGGAGTACGGAAACATGCCAAGTTGTATCCTGAGCATCGTTGACCTCGCAGGCTAAGGAGCAGAGCTATTCCGTAATCCAAGACCCTTCTAGATCTGGTTTTTGCTTTATCTAAAAATACTTCTTCATACATTGTTCGCAACGTACTTTTATATTTATGCTAAAAGATCGAGCTTATTAAAAACAAGACTCCATGATTGGAGTAATATTTTTATTTTTATAGCTGGACTCTTGTTGAGCGAGCTTTCTACGTACCCAAAATAGGTTCAAGCCAAATCATAGTTCGATATGTTTGTTTTAGCAATATAACTTTTTCAAGTTGATGATGTTCCAAGGCCTTTGAACGGGATTTCCGTCAAGGTCTTTTAAACGGTATACACCATTTCGGATTTTTTCTGTGATTTGATAAGGGCCTTCCCAGTTAATACCGAGTCTTCCAGCTCCTTCTTCTTTTGTGTTATCGAATACTCGTCTTAAAACAAAGTCTCCTACATTTAATAGTCTATTTTTCAACTTTGAATTATAGTATCGAGCGGTTAACTGTTGATAGTTTTGAAGTCGAATAAGGGATTGGTCTCGCCTTTCATCAATTGTATCGAGAACGTCTTCTAATAATTTAGAATTCAGTTCTTCGTTAAGTGGAGCTTCGCTCCGGCGTAAACCGGGAACATTCAGCTCAGCTGGGACTACTGCTTCCATCCCATATACTAATGAGAATGGAGTTTCTCCCATTGCTCGTCTCGGGGTTGTTCGATATGCCCACAACACATGTTGCAGCTCGTCGTACCAACCACCTTTTCGAGCATTCAAACGTTTCTTAGGATTGCTAAGAATGGTTTTATTGGAAGCTTAAGCTTGCCCATTTCCTTGAGGATACCTCGGCGTCGAATAGCTAAGTTTTATCCCCCAAGAGGAACAAAAATCTTCAAATTCATTTGAAATGAACTGTGGACCATTGTCCGTTACTATTTCGTAAGGAACTCCATGGCGACAAATAATGTGTTTCCACAAGAATGTCTTTACCACAGAATCTTGTATATTTACGTAAGCTTCAGCTTCGATCCATTTGGAAAGCTGCTTCGCATTGATCATCCCACCGAAATTTCTTGTTTCCTTTTAAAATTTGATAAAAGGGGAAACATTTATTGGTAGATTTTGAGATCAAAACGATTCAACGCAGCAATTCTGCCCGTCAATCGTTGGACCTCTTTAATGTTTTTTGGCGAAGGCATCGTGAGGAAAGTGTTAATCTGATTGGGATTTGCTTCTATTCCTCTTTCCGTGACTATGTATCCTAGGAATTCTCCGGAAGGAACACCAAAAGAACATTTAGCTGGATTTAGTTTCATTCCGAATTCATTCAGAATTTTGAAACATTGCTCAAGATGAGTGATGTGCTCGGATTTCTTAAGAGATTTCACGAGCATATCATCAATATAGACTTCCATCGTTTGGCCCAAATATTCTGCGAACATTTTGTTAACTAAACGCTGGTATGTTGCTCCGGCATTTTTTAGACCGAATGGCATAACTTTGTAACAGTAGATTCCTCTATCTGTTATGAAGGACGTTTTCTCTTTGTCTTCGGGATTCATCATGATCTGATTATATCCAGAAAATGCATCCATAAATGACAAGAGTTTGTTTCCGGCTGTTGATTCTACAAGCCGATCAATATGAGGGAGAGGGAAGCTGTCTTTCGGACATGCTTTGTTAATGTCAGTGAAATCGACACATACTCACCACTTTCCATTCTTCTTTTTGACTACCACGGGGTTTGCTAACCAGTCCGGGTATTTTACTTCTCTAATAGAACCAATTTTCAAAAGCTTATCAACTTCGTCATTGACCGCTTGAGCTCGGTCAGGACCCAGTTTTCTTCTCTTTTGCCTTATTGGTTTAAAACTGGGATCGACGTTTAGTTCATGGGTAATGATACTTTTGTCGATTCCGAGCATATCTTTCGCCGACCAGGCAAAAGTAAGTTTATTTTCTTTTAGAAATGTTACCAATTGATCTTTGATTTCTGAATCTAAAGTAGTGCTGATCTTTACTTTTCGATCTAGAAATTCGGAATCAATTTCAACTTCTGTGGTAACTTCATTCGAATTGAGACCACTTGGGTAACGCGAGATGCTTTCCTGCTTAGCGTTTATCATTAATTGCTATTTGAGCTTTAAGCGATGTCCCATGAGGTAGCAAGAACGCGACGTTTCATGATCTCCTCGAATGGTTCCGATTCCTCCGGGAGTCGGAAATTTCACACATTGGTGGTAATTTAAAGGTATTGCCTTCATCTGGTATATCCACTGAGTTCCGAGAATTATGTTGTAAGCGGCCGGTCGGTCAAAAACAATAAATTCTACAATTTTTGGAACCCCTGCGGCGAGCACTGGTAGTTTTATGTTTCCTAAGGACATAGATGTTTCACTCGTGAAAGCTACTAATGGTGCCGGTGGACCGATAATGCCGGCTTTACTGATTCCCATTCTTTGCAAAGTGCTTAAAAATATGAGATCTACCGAGCTTCCAGTATCAATTAGACACCTTGTCACTTCGAAGTTCGCAACATCTAAGGTTATCACAAGAGCATCGTCATGAGGCCCTGTTACTCCTTGGGCGTCCGAATTGTCAAAAGAGATAGAAGGTATTTGTTCATTTGACTGAAAACCCATAGCGGTTTGAATCGCTGCTGATTTTTTATGCCTTTTGATTGATCTGATCGAATCTCGGCATAATTTGGATCCTCCCATTATAACATCGATCCTTTTCTTAGGAGTGTTCGGAGTTTCGGGCCCATTGGGCTTATGTTTCTTTTCAAGAGGATTAGAAGCTTCGGATTCTTCTTTTTCTTTGTGATAAGACTCAACAAATTCCTCCATCTTGAAATTAGCGAGCTCTCCAGCTGCCCACAGTTCGGTGAGGTGCTTTTTGAGTACGCTACAATCTTTGGTGGAGTGCCCATTTACTTTGTGAATATCGCAATAGGCACTTTCATCTCTAACCCAAGTATTAGGAGGATTGTATCTTCCTCTGCTTGGGGAGGGTTTTCCTACAGCATTAGTAGCAGGATTAACTCCGAACCTTTTTTGATCTTTAGGTTCGAACTTTTTCGTCGGATTTGCAACGACTAATTTAGCTGGCCGATGCTTCTTAGCGAGACTAAGTTTTTCTTCCTCTGTCTCCATCCAATTGTTAGCTCGGAAGAGAGCATCATGGATGGTGCTTGGACAATTGACAATGAGTTCTTCCCGAAATCAGGATTCGTGCCAGAGTCCATTCCGTAAAGCGGATAGGGCAGCAGCATGCGATACCCCAGGAATTTTGGCTATCA